CAATCAATCAATCAATCAAATTTTATTTGTATAGCACATTTCAGTAGCAAGGAAATGACAAGGACCTGACAGAGAACAAGAGACACAGGTGGGTATACATACCCAGGAGACAGTTGGGAACAATCAGGGGCCGACGAGACAACACAGAAACTAAATTGACACACAGAAAACCAAATCCCCACAGAATCGTTGATTCAACATGTGAGTCACCAACTGCTTTCAATGTCAGACCCAACTTAGATTCAATGTTTCTGCCTAATGTTGTTTCAATGTTGTTTCACTCAGATTTTGCTATCTGGGGTTACTGTTACTGTTCTTTACTGATCTTAAGCCAGCAGGTGGCAGGTTTCATCCAGAGCCGCAGAGGAAGAACTTCAGCTGATCTGGTAAAAAGCCCGACCCGCAGCACCGCTAATCCAGATTAGAGAGCGAGACGCTGAGCTGAGTACAGAAAGGACAGGCAGGAGGACACTGGACATTCAGGATCCTGCTGCAGGAACTGTGATGTCGTGATGGACGGCAGAGGACGCAGAGGAACCGATGGGTCAGTGAAAAGCTCGTCCATCAAACGCAGCGTGTCTTCTGGATCCCAGAGGGTAAGACGGTGCTGAGAGACCAGAAGATGCAAGGGTGGAACAGTCTCTGCTTTTTCTGGAGACAGTTTGGACCAGACGTCCTCTGGTCCAATCAGAGTGGTTCAGACTGGACCGGAATCGGGTTGGGGTCTGATTGGACCGGATTTGTTGTCATGGCTGTAGTTACTATGGTGATGACAGAGTGTTGTTGACCTGACAGCAGAACTCCAGCACTGGTTCTGTCTGACCCTTTCCATCTCTGCATCTCCTTGGAGTTCTGGTCCAACTCTCTTTCCCACGGTTCTCCAGTTACATTAGGTCTGCTCAGAACTCTAAGCATCCCACTGCATTCCAGCCAGGATGAGTCCAGACTTTGACTGGACTTCAGTTCAGACATGGACTCAGACCGGCCCTTTGAGAAATGTCAAGGTGCTCCCGATTAGCCACAAACTGGGACTGACGCGTCTCAGAAATCATCTAGGCTTGTTGTCTCCTCATTCAGTTTCCCTTCACATTATTGGACCTTCACTGGAGTTCTGCTGAAATTCTCTCAAGTTCTCCTGAGGTTCTTTATGTGCAACTGGGTTGTTTAGTCCAGTTGGAGCAAACTGGTTTATTGAACCTGGTCCTCCTCTTCCTCAGCAGGATGCAGCTTCATCAGCAGCTTCCTTGGCTGAGGAGCGTCTCCACGTCTGCTGGTTCAGTCAGAGCTGAAAATGTTCGAACGAAACGGGTCACAAAATGAGTCAAGAGTCCAGCTCCAACCAGGACGAAAACGAGAAAAAGGGCAAATGTTTTTGTTCTCAACAACAATCAGAAGATATAAAAAATTCAATCAATTAGTTTTTTCCTTTATTATGCAGTTGTTGAGTCACTCCACTACCATGTGATGATGATGATGATGAAGATGATGGTTTCTGTGCAGCTTCATCATTCACGTGAAACAGACAATCACACTGCAGCTCATGTTCCACTCAGACAGTAATCCATTAATTTAACAAAGTGGAGATTCAGGAAGACACGCACACACACAGTCGTGTTTTCATCACTTGTGGGGACTTCACATTGACTTCCATTAATTTCTACACCCTAACCCTAACCTTTAACCTTTACCCTAACCCTGACCATCACAGACCTAACCACTAACCCAACAACAACAATTTCCCTTATGGGGACCAAGAAAATGTCCACAAGGAACAATGGTTCCCATAACCCCACATTGTAGACAGAAATAGGTTCCCATAAGGATATAAAAACCTGCTACACACACACACACACACACACACACACACAGTCATTGAGGAGCATGTGGATTTAAAGGGCCAGTGTCTGTGTTTCTTTACTGACTGGAGGAATAGAAAAAAACCTGAAACTCCCAGAAATTAACCAGACCCCATGCAGGAGGAACTCTGGTGTTTCAGCTTTATGTTTCTAATCTTCCTGTTATTTAAGTTTTACAGCAAAACAAAGACCAGCACATCAGTTTTTGTCTTTGTTTTCACTGATTGGCTCTCCAGTAACATTCTGGTTTTAAAAACCAGTAAGACTTTGATACAAACTCCCAGGTACCTGAAATCAGTCAGTCGCCTCCTGGCCTAAATTCTTGGTCAAACTCCAGCCAGATAATTCCTGTTCTTGTTTCATTGAAGAAACATTTCCAAAATACAAAGACCATGTAGAGAAAATGATTCGCATTTCCTGTCACCTTGACAACGGCTTTAACTAGCCAGGCTCCTGATTGGCTGACTGAACTCTGCTGCTGTCAGCCTTCGCTGCCAAACTAGCGGCTGAAACCTAAAGAGGCATTTCAGTCTCTTTAGGTTCCAGTTTGCTTTCAGCCCAAACTGAAAGCAAACTGGGTTGTTTAGTCCAGTTGGAGCGAACTGGACTAAACTGGACTTTCAGTTACAGTTTGCTCCCTGACTGGGACCAGTTTGCTCCAGCAGCTTCATTTTGTCGACTCTGTGGAGGATTTTAAAAACCAACTGAAAACGTTTATCTTCGTCGGTTTTTGTATTTTGATTTTTTTCTATATTCTTATCGTTTTTTGGATCTTATGTCTGTGCTTCATAAATACACGGTAGTTATTATATCCAGCCTTGGTGAGTCTGGAGCATTTCAAGCAGCAACACCTTAAATTCTGCTTGGTGTTTCCTGCTGCAGGTTCACAGAGCGTGGATCGAGAGAACCTTCCAGAAGAGAGAATGCATCCAGATCATTCCCAGCAAAGATGCAAGCAGGTGAAAAATGCACAGATCTCTGTTATATTGTTGTTGTGTTGATGAAGAGAAGCTCAGATGCTCTGAGCAAGGCAGTCAGCTGACCAGGTCACATGGTGCTGATCTCTGAATTTCAGTCATGTGACTCTGAAGAAATCAATCCTGGACAAATTAGAGCAGCTTCTCATATTCAGAGATTTCCTGAAGGTGGAGCAAAGCAGGGAAGCTAAAACCAGAACATCTGCTCCACCTCCAGCTGCTGTGGCTCTGAGTCAAACCAACCTGTTCCCCTCCTGGCCTGTGGGGGCGCTGCACCAAGAACCACTGAAGGAAACGACACAAAAACCTCTGAAGACACTGAGAGCAACTTCCTTCTTCACCAGATGGAAACAAGATGGAGGCGTCAGATTTTAGTGGTTGGAGGATTTCTCTTTAGGCTAAAGACCAGGAGACATTTCTGCTGCTAGCGCTAGGCTAACACGTTAGCTTTGGTTGGATTTACCCAGAATATCCTGTGCTGTAGTCCACTGTTGGCGTTCACATTCAAACCAAAGCAGAGTTCACTTCAACTGAACAAAGACCGAGGTTTGGAGGGCCAGAGGTCAGAGGTCGATTAGCATTCACACCAACCGGACCAGACTTTATAGCAAATGGACTGGAGTCAGGTTGAAGTGGACCAAACAGTGAATGATGCAGCCTAACTGACTTCAGGTTTCAGCCAAAGACTAGTGCCGGGTTTCCTTGATCATCAATGAGGGACTGAAGGTCGAAGACAGTCAGCTCTTCTCTTACAGGCATAATAATCTCTGGATGGAGGTTTTTATCCTGTTTTAGTTGTTTTTTCTTTTAAAATCATCTTTTGTCCTTCATGCAAAAGAAGGACCGTCTTTTGCATGATGGTCCTTCATAAATAAACTTACCTTTAGTGTGAGGTAAAGCGGATTTCTTCTTCCTGCTGTGTAGGTGCAGCTGTGGCCAGCTGGTGACGCAGCACCCCCCCATCCCTGCAGGGGCAGTGGAGGAGACAGGCCAGCTGGTTCAGTTGGACGTCCAGCCTACAGAGAGATGGAGCATCCTGAAACACACCCAGACCTTTTCCACCGACGCTTATGGAGTCCTGGAGTTCCAGGGCGGAGGACACGTCAACAAGGCCATGGTAACACGGAGCAGACCAGGTTACTGGGATGATGGTAGCAGCTCAGACTGACTCTCTCCCCTTCATGCTGTCTCTGTCCTGCAGTACATCAGGGTCTCCTATGACTCCAAGCCAGACTCTCTGCTCCACCTGATGGTGAAGGAGTGGCAGCTGGAGCTGCCTACGCTGCTCATCTCCGTCCATGGAGGGCTGCAGAACTTCGACCTGCCCCCCAAACTAAAGCAGGTCTTTGGGAGGGGGCTGATCAAGGCCGCAGTCACCACCGGAGCCTGGATCTTCACAGGAGGAGTCAGCACAGGTGCAACACTCAGCTCCAGCTGTGCAATAGGCTAATATCCATCATTGTGCCTGTCACAGACACAAATACCCAGGATGAGAACCTGATGAGCTGATTACAGCAGAACCAAACCAAGAGAGAAGTGTGATCATATTAATTCTGATTCTGCTGAGCTCCCTCCGTCTGCTGTTGCAGGAGTTATTCGACATGTTGGAGACGCTCTCAAAGATCATTCATCCAAGTCCAGAGGAAAGGTCTGCGCCATCGGCATCGCACCCTGGGGAATTGTCGAAAACAAAGAGGACCTGATTGGGAAAGATGTAAGAAGAGTCTAATTAAATCAGGTGGACAAGTCCAGAGCATCTCTGAGCTTCAGCCTTTGTTTACTCAGTGATGGACTTGTATGGCGATAGTTTGCTCTGATTGGCTGTTAGTAGACAGTCATGAATGAAAATGGCTGCAGCTCCTGTGATTTCGCCTGTTGTGTAGTGGTCTGTTCATTTCTACTGATGAAGGGATTCTCTTCACCCTTAGTTCATTTGGTTCCAGCTTTGTTGGGTTTGTAGAGGACATGAGCTAGTGGCCTTAGGGTACCATGGGAGGAGTAGGAGGTACTGTGCAGCTCCTCCCATGCCCTCGTTAGCTGGGTCCAGATTCCTGACACATTGTGGAGGATGAAGCATGGAGTCTGGCAGGCAGCCCTCTGTCAGGTGTTAATGGACCAGATCTCAAGGTACCTTCAGGGAGAAGACCTGGAGAGCCTTGGGTTTGGTCTTTGGTTGGGATGCTGGCATCTTCAGTATGCACTCTAGGTGCCAACAGCTGTGTTTGAAGTGACTACGATGAGAGTCATGAGCTGGAGTTCAAGAGGAAATGAGGGAAAGATGGAGCAGGAGTTGTGTAGACAGACCAGCTGCTCTGGTCTGTTGAAGAGAAGAAAGGTCGGTTGCTCCATCTGTGTTCGGACCCTTATCCTCGGTCTGGAAAGTTCATTGATCAGTGACAGTGTTTAATTCATTGTTATTGATGATGTTTATGTCACCATGACAACTTCTAATGGAAGCCTGCTGCTGTGTTTTAGGTGACACGGCCCTACCAGACCATGTCCAACCCGCTCAGCAAGCTGTCAGTCCTGAACAGCAGCCACTCTCACTTCATCCTATCCGACAATGGCACCACCGGCAAATATGGAGCCGAGGTCCGTCTCCGCCGGCAGCTAGAGAAACATGTCTCCCTGCAGAAGATCAACACACGTGAGTCATGTGACCCTGCAGCAGCCCCTCCCTGGCCTGCTAAATCTCCTCTACTCATGTGACTGGTCAGGTGACCTAAAGGGTTCCCTTTGTCATCCTATGCCTGGAGCCGTCTGTAAGGCAGGGACAGCAAGGGGAGGCTCAGCTGTCACCCCTTCCTTCATCTCCCACAGAACCAGGCGAACCCAAACGAGAGTCCAACCCTCCAGACAGAGACAGAACAGACCCACCAACATAAAACCAACCAAACAAAACCTTAGGAAGGTTCTAGACCAGTGGTTCCTAACCTTTTTTGA